CCAGGGTCCGACATACCTGAGGGACTGCCTTTCCCCACACATACCCCAGAGAGCACTACAGTCGGGGGCACAACATCGTCTAGTGATTCCAGGCCCCAAGGAGGCCAGGCTCACCACAACCAGGGCCAGGGCCTTTTTGATGGTGGCTCCTACCTGGTGGAATGAGCTCCCTGAGGAGATCAGGGCCCTGCAGGACCTTGTACAGTTCCGCAGGGCCTGCAAGACGGAGCTCTTCCACCAGGCTTTTAACTAGGAGCCCACCACCACTACCACCATTACTGTCAGTAACATCGGGGCAGTAGATGGCCCTGTATGGAGATCGAGCCACAGCAATGCGGGAGACCGGAGACCGTTGAATTGGGATCTAGTGTTACTTCTGTAGTATGCCATCTTTATTTGATTGAAGGATTGATATGTTTCGAGCACTTTAATTGTAATATGGATTGTTTTACCTTGTTTTTATAGGTTTTATATGCCTGGGCACACGCTGCCCCTGAATGTGAGCCGCCCTGAGCCTGCTCACCGGGGAGGGCGGGATAGAAATGTAATAATAAATAATAAAAAAGAGGCGCAACATCTACCCAATGAGAGGGGCCAACCGCCAAGTGTACCTGAGTAAGAGAATTCTCTTAACCCTTTCCCTCCCAGTTCCTCTTGCATGCAGAGTTACAATATCCAATAAGATGAGGATGGGAGACTCAGGTTCGAATCCCTACTCTGTCATGGAAAGTTCGCTCAGTGACCTCAGGCCAGTCACACACCCTCAGCCTAATCTACCTAACAGGGTTGTGGTAAAGATAAAATGGAGGGGGGGGAATTCTGTAGGCTAATTTGAGTCCCCACTGGGGAGAAAAGAAGGGTATCAATAAATGTGGTCTTGAACCCTCAACTCAGTCACAGGTGTGAGTGGGGTTGCTCACAAAGGCTTGGGGTTGCTCTGAAAGTGATATGATTTGTGGGTGTCTCCCTCTCCATAAGATATTTATTTGTTCCATTGGATTTTAAACCACCCTCCCCCTCCAGGACAGGGCTTAGGTCGGTGTTGTTGTTCAGTCGCACAGTCGAGTCCGTCTCTTCGCGACCCCATGGACCAGATCACGCCAGGCCTTCCGGTCTTCCGCCGTCCTCTGAAGTTGGCTCAATTTCATGTTCGTTGCATCTATGACACTGTGTGACCATCTCATCCTTTGCCGTCCCCGTCTTCTTTGACCTTCAGTCTTTCCCAGCATCGGGGTCTTCTCCAGGGAGTGCTCCCTTCTCATTGGGTGGCCAAAGTATTTGAGCTTCAGTTTCATTATCTGGCCTTCCAGGGAACAGTCAGGGTTGATTTCTTTTAGGACTGACTGATTTGATCCTCTTGCAGTCCAAGGGACTCTCAAGAGTCTTCTCCAGCACCATAGTTCAAAAGAATCTATTCTTCGGCGCTCGGCCTTCCTTATAGTCCAACTCTCGCAGCCATACATGACTACTGGGAATACCATTGCTTTGACCATGCGGACTTTTGTTGGCAGGGTGATGTCTCTACTTTTTATCATGCTGTTTAGGTTCGCCATCGCTTTCCTCCCAAGGAGCAGGCATCTTTTGATTTCATGGCTGCTGTCACAGTCTGCGGTGATCTGGGATCCCAAGAACGTGAAGTAGGTTGGTGTACAACGTGATAAATTCATGTCATACATTGTTTAAAAATTAGCATAATAAAAACACAATAATTAGCTCAAAAGATGACACTAAGAGTTCCAATAGTACCGCTGCCACATAGGGAGGCAGAGGGTGGCAGGAGGAGGGAACCCTCGCTGTCCTCAACCAAATGCCTGATGGAACGTCTCTGCCTTACAAGCCCTTGCGGAACTGCACCGAGTCCCACAGGGCACGGATGCTGCTTGGCAGAGAGTTCCACCAGGTTAGCGCCAGGGTGGGAAACGCCCTTGCTCTAGTCGAGGACAGCTGGATGTCTCTAGGGCTCGGGACCACCAGTAAACCCTGATCTACCGAGCGCAGTGCTCTCCTGGGGGTATACCAGGAGAGGCGGTCCCGAAGATACACATGCATATTTCTGGCTGGGTGTAGCCATACAGTTAGGTATGTCAGGATGCAGTGTGCAAACTGTGCACATGTGCTTGGCAAATGCACCTTTGCCTAGCTAGCATCAGCATCAGTGAAGGCAAGGGACTCTCAATATACTCAGCAGTGTCATTATTCCCACCTCCCACTTGGGGAGACTAAGTTCTGCCGAGACTGGGCCCAAGTGCACACTGGTCATTCAGGACGGTGCCTCAGGGAGAGCTGGCAGTGCAGGTGGGAAGTGCTGTCAAGTTGCATCTGACTTGTGGTAACCCTGTAGGGGTTTCAGGGCAGGAGAAGAACAGAGGTGGTTGGCCATTGATTGCCTCTGTGTAGTGACCCTGGGCTTCCTTGGAGGTCTCTCATCCAAGTACTAGCCAGGGATGACCTGCTTAGGTTCCAAACTCCATGAGATCAGACTAGTCTGGGCTATTCAGGTGAGGTCCAGGGAGAAGGAGTGGCCACTTTAAAAAACCTCATAAGCACAGTCCAAGTAGAAGTGAGCAAAGCACACAACATTGTCTTTTGCGGAGTCTAAGGACTGGCCTATCCAGGTAAGTATTGTTTACTCTGGCTGGCAGCTGCTATCCAGCATTTCAGGTTCATATTACCTGTTCTTTTTTTAGCTGGATTTGCCAGGGATTGAACCAGGGACTTTCTGCATGCCAAGCAGATACAGTGCCACTGAGAAGAGGAGGAGTTGGATTTATACTCCACGCTTCACTCGGAGTCTCAGAGTGGCTTACAATCCCCTTCCCTTCCCCTCCCCACAACAGACACCCTGTGAGGTAGGTGGGGCTCAGAGAGCTCTTTTGAGAACTGTTCTTGAGAGAACAGCTCTGAGAGAACTTGTGACTGACCCAAGGTCACCCAGCTGGCTGGATGTGGAGGAGTGGGGAATTGAACCCAGTTCTCCAGATTAGAGTCCGCTGCTCTTAATCACCACCCCAAACTAGCCATAGCCCCTCCCCTCTGTGTGGAATGGCTGTTCAGGCTGTCATGGCTTCTGTTGGCGTCTGCATGAGGAATCCCTGGCTGGATGTTCTCCTCGCTTTGCCTTGAAGAGGAGTCCTGTGTGTGTTTTGAGAGCTGACTCGAAAGCTTCTGCAATCCTGTATCTTCTGCTTCTGGGATAAAAGCAGTCTGATTCAAAACCCTGACGTTTGTAAAAAAAACAAAAAACAATTCCGTGAAGGGCTCTGTTCCAGGGTTGCAAGGCAGAGAACACAATTTAAAGCGACCAGTGTTAACAATAACATATATTCATGATGAAGAATAAACGTCACTGGTGCTCTTAAAGAACACTATTATTTCGTAGCAAGGGAATCTCGAATATATGCATCACACAAAACCAGCCTTTGAACCTTGCCGTTTTTGCCCCTCCCTTCCCGAAATCCCTCCCTCTCGGAAACCTGAAATGGCGTGTCCTTGAAGAAGACACTTTTTTTTTTTTTAAGCAATCGTGCTATTGCCATGTTTTCGTAACTTCTTTTTGCATTCCTACACGCAGGCCGCGAGGACTGGGTTTATATAATATCCACGCCCCCGCCCCGCAGATGTTGATCATTGGGAAGAGGGTATCGGAAAACTACGAACGCCCTTGCAAAAGTAAGTCGTGCGTCCAGTTTGAGGCCCGGAGGAAAGGAGGGAGAAAGTCTGTGCAGAATTCTGCCCGGCCGTCATGTCTACAACCCGTGACACGTTCCCTCCCTCCCAGGCCTTTTATGAATGAACTTTGGGAGCGCTTGTTTTTTTTATGAATGGGAGTTCCAGCAGTGAATGAATCTTAGAGCTCCCGACGCTGATTGGCTCCGAGGGCCCAAGTACGCCCTATCCCGACCGGGCGAGAGCGACGCTGAGCCTTGATTGGCTGGGCGTGTCCCAACGAGCCCAGGGAATTCCACCTCCCCTCTTTTCCATTCACAAAGTCAATGAAACAAAGAGAAACAGAAAAGACTCTGTGTGTTTTCCGTGAAAAGAGGAAACGGCTCCGCGTTGGAGGCGGGAGCAGCTCTTCCCCGGCGCTGTCCCACGAGAAGCGGCACATCCCTGTGGTTTTGGGATCAGCTGCCTCGGGGTGGGGGCCGGCTGGGAAGAACTGAAGCGACCCCCCCTCCCTCCTCTTTCAGTCTCAGGTGAGGGAGGAGAGAGAGAAGTTTGCATGGAAATGAGGCGGCATCTTTATGAGTCACCGCAGAAGTTTGAGCGAAGATACCGGGGGTGGTGGTGTGAAGGTGGAAGACCATTACCCAGAACTTTGGGGCCTAGTCGGGGGAGGGGGGGATTTCAGACCAGGAATCGGGATGCAGAAAAGATGCGGAGAGGGATGCGATTGGGGGCGGGCAGAGAACGGAAGCCAAAGCCAGTGTTTTATTGGGGAGGGACATCGAGGGAGGCGATGGAGCAATGCGGTCGGCGGAGGGGGGGGGAGGAATAAGCAAAGAAAATGGATGAGGCGGGAGAGGGAGAGAAGGAGGCAATGCAGGCAGAGGTCTGGTGAAAAGCGGGGGAAAGAGGGTCGCGATGCAGTCCTAAGCAGAGCTCCCCCCCACTCGAAGTTAGTAGAAGTCGAGAGACTTGGAAGGGTGGGATTCTGCCTCACATGGCAGGGCTGGGGCCCTTTCTTCGCGGGAGATGGAGGCTGCCTGGAGAGGGAGATTGGGGGGACGACCAGGTGGACTCTCTGGGGAGGAGACTGGACGGGCGGAGAAGCCCAACGTGAAGCCAGGGTGGAAGGAGAAGCTGTGCTGGGGAGTAGAGGCTCCTAGCAAAGGCCTCCCCTCCCTCCCCTCAGCTACGCATCCTTCTTTCCAGGTGGGGGGGTGAGGGGAGTGAAGGTGGGCATCCTTACCTTGCATCCAAGATCTCTGCTGCGTAAACAATTCTGTGCTTGCTCTGGTGTGCAGTAAACCCTTATGCTCTGTTCTAACTCACTGATTTACCTTTTTTTAAAAAACAACAACAACAATGGTTCCCCTTCCAGGGTCTGCTGTCTGCCCCTCCCCCCATGCTGGCACAGAACTTGCACCCATGGCCAATGGGAGGATGAAAGGCTACCTGGACCAGCAAGTGCCTTATACTTCTGCACAGGTGGGTGAACTAACCGTGCGCTCCTCAACAGAGTTGCGCCTTTCTAAGTCCATTGAAGGCGGTGGGCATCGAAGGGTGGGGCTATGTCGAGGATTGCACTGCGACCAGCTCAGGTCTTGAGCCTTCTGTTGTGCTTCCCCTCCCCCACCTTGCCAGTCAGTTTGGCAACTGGCAGAGCTGTTGCTCGGACCTCTGATGAACCTCACTTCTTGTGATTTCCCAGAAATTGCCAGGAAATGGAACCCTGGACGGCCGGCTGGTGATGGCCGCACGGAGGAAAGCCATGGACCCAGGCGTGCCCCAAGTCCCAGATTCAGAAGGTGTGTATGCTAGTGGGAATCGCCTCCTGCATCAGGACCCTGATGTGAGATTTAGCTTGATGACATTGCAGTACACAGTGATTGTTCCCATTTTACAGAATGGGGAACTGAGGAGCAGAGAGACGATGACTTCCTCAAGGCTTCCAAGTATGTCTTGGCTTCAGATTTCCTGAGGTCAGCGTCCTCTGGACTCGGTCAGTTCTCGTTTTTGAAGCGAGAGGCCTTCATTGGAAATTAAAACCGTCCCTCGTGACCATTTTGTAGGGCAAGTGGGAAATCTTAGGAGTGGCGGAGATGCTGCAGTACGCCTGATCTCAGCCTAAGAATGCCATAGTGTGAGGATGCCAGTCTCCCCTTGGGGTAGCGGTGATCGGATGCATAGGTCTCTAACCCTATAATAACTCCAATGACCTCTCAATCCCCCATTCTGAAGAAAGTCAGTGTGGGGCAGTGGTTTGAGTGGTTTGAGAAACCCCATTCTTCCAAAGGAGCTTGTTGGGTGACCTCAGGTCAGTTGCAGACTCTGCCTGCCTTGTGAGGATAAAGAGGAGGGGAGGAGAATGATGTAAGCCACTTTGGGTTCCCACTGGGGAGAAAGGTGAGGTATAAGGATTAAAATAATAGGAGTCCCTCGCTTGCACAAAGACCCACTGCTCTCCATTGTTCGAAAAATCCCAAAGCTCGACATCATTTGAATGCTGCACTGTGTTCTAGCAATTGCCTCCGTGTCCGAGAGTGGAGAGGCTCCAGATTTCTCCCTCCCTCCCTTCAGCCTCTTTGCATGCAGCTCTGATAGGAAGCGTCGCTTCTTCTGCATTCTGCAGTCTGTACAGGCGGGCTGCTCCAGCTGTGCCCCAATGGAGATGACTGCAAGGGCAAATATTCCATTTTAGTGTGGACCCTTTCGGAAGGCAGAGGAGTGCAGCATGGCATTGGGAGATTTGCGGCAGACCTGGTTGCTCCTTTGTATTCTGGAGGGTTTCAGCTGCATGGGTCCCGCTGCACATTCAGAGATGCATCCCGGGCAGTAAAACAGGCCCCCAAAGCACCTGTTTCTGCTGGGTGTGTGTGTGCACCAGTAACTCTGCTGGGCCCAGCCTCAAGTTGCGAGAACTGAGTGAGGAATTAACCTCTGCAGCTGGATTATACCTCAGCACGTCTGTGGTTCTCTTTTGCTGCCACCAGCAGGTCGATAGTCAGATCTGTCTATTGATTCAGCCAGTTTTACTGAAACGGGGTGGGGGGCTTTGACCACCAAAAAGGATATGCTGGAAATCATTGGGGTCTGCATGGGCAAAAGCCGTGTGGGAGGAGGGTTGTAGTATGAACGGGAACAGGCTGAGATGGAGCAGAATGAAAGTTGGCTGAATCCAGCTCAGTCTGTCACAGTTTTTTACCTGCCTTTCCTCCAAAGAGTTTAGGGTAGGTTGTGTGCGGTCTCCCCCCATTCTCTGTTTTATCCACAGAACAGCCCTGTTGGGTAGGCTAGGCGGAATGTGAATGACCGACCCAAGGTCACCCAAAGAACTTCACAGCGGAGTGGGGATTCGAACCTGAGTCTCCAGTTCCTAGTCCAGCCACTGTAGCACACTGGTTGTGCTTTTAAGAGTCTCAGACTCAGAGACAAAGTAGAAGGAAAAGAACAAAAGCAGAGGTGGCACAGGGCAGAGGCTTGGAATCGAAACAGTTCTGGGTTGACTTGGAACAGTTTCCTTCTGCTGAAGTGAGGCACCTTCTCCCAGCAAAGCTTCTGGTTTAGCAGGACAGAGTCACTGGATCAACCCCCCCCCCTGTGTTTGTGTGTGTGTGTGTGTGTGGGGAGCTTCTGGGCTTGAAAAATTGATATGGGGGGGATTCTGCAAGTTGAGTTGAGCATTGGCCATGGACCCTGTTTCTTTTGTCCTTGCAGTCTGTTGTATTCGTTGATAGAGATGTGAAGGCCTGGGAATCCCCACCTCCACATTTTATAAAAACATTCCCAATGGAAGCATTAGAAATTTGGGTCAGCACTAAGAAAACACTATGAAATGTTTCCTCTTTCACCACGAGGAAAGTGCTTTTTAAGGGATGGTTTTGATGATTCTAGTGTGAAAATGCTTATGTAAGACAGTCTATTGCAGGGGTGGCCGAACTTTGGCTCGGGAGCCAAATGTGCCTCTTTCATATGCGGCTCCCGGCATGGCAGCTGGGGAAGCGAGGGGGGGGCATGCCTCCCCAATCGGTCTTCCCTTCCCCAGCCAGTGTTCTCCTTCCTGGGTAGGCTTGAGGCCGGGGGGGGGGGGGGCGGAGAAAGAATCCCCCCCAAGCCTACAAATATCATTGGACAAATAAATATCATTATCAATATCTATTTTTACCTTTTTTGTTTTTATGTTTGGCAGTCTCATTTAATGTTAATGAAAAGCAAATTTGCATTTTTCAGTAAAAACATGTCATATGTCATGCGGCTCTCAAACTTTTGATGTTTATTCTATGTGGCTCTTATGTTAAGCAGGTTTGGCCACCCCTGGTCTATTGCATTACAGAATGACGATTCCTGTGTGCCTGTAGACATAACTTCAAACCTCAGTTTCTTGTTGACATGTGACTAATTTTGGTCACAGTTAATATGCCATAACCTGTATGGTAATGCTATTGAATAGTGCCATGTTCGCAGTGTTATCAAGTTGATCTGTTAATACGGTGGTTGTCCTGTTATGACTATATGAGGCTATTTCAATCCAGATAACACACTTTTTTTTTCCCTTTGCTACATTTCCCTAAGGGTACATCACTAAGGGTACATCGGCTGCAGCTGTCTGCAGCTTTTTGTTTTTTAGTACTAGGTGTATTTACAATGTGTCCTAGAAAAATGAAGACACTGGTACTTTTAAACAGGTTGTAAATATCCCAAATAGTGCAATTGTTTATGCAGCCTAAGTTAGCATGGAATGGAACTCCATCAGGTATTTGAAAAAGTGTGCATGCACACGAAAGCTCATACCTTGAATAAACCTTTGTTGGTTTTCAAGGTGCCACTGGACTCTCAATTTGTTCTAAGTTGTCAGTGAGGCATTTTGTGTTGTGGGAGCAGTAAAATTAGTTTAGGTTTAATAAGAAAGTCTTGTGTCTTTTTTTCTACCGCCGCCCCTCAAATTTCTATGTCCCCCCTCCCAAAAAATGTGGGTTTCTCCCATGTTTTCAACATTTCTCGAAATGGTACATCTCTGCTCTCTCTGCTGCTCCATCCAGGGTGGATATGTGTTCACCGGGCTCTGTCCTTTCCCCTTTCAGATCTTTTCCAGGACCTAAACCAGTTTCAAGAAGTCTGGCTAACGGAAGGTAAGCTTCTCTTTCGTCACCTCCATTACACACTTGAACCACCTCCAGTCTTTGGTTGATTTTCCCTCTGCTTTCATTCTTCGGGTTCCAGACTTGATCGTATGTAGTTTAGTCTCTGGCTTGGATAAACTCAGGAATATGAATCACGCCATTGTGTTGGTATTTGTTTATGAAAGGAACTTGGCTCGGGGCACTTTTTTCCCTTCCCAGTGAAAATGTTCTTTTAAAACAGTGGCTGTTGGCGGCAGCTGAGATGACATATCTAGCTAGTACATTTTAATACTGCTTGCATGCATGGCTTTCCTTTCCCTGTTTTAGCCTCACAATAGCCCTGTGAGGTAGGCTAGACTTTATTTTTATTTATTTCCCACATGGGGATCTAAAGCAGCTTATGATATCATTCCGTCTTCCTCTGTTTTATCCTCACAACAGCCCTATAAGGCGGCTTAGGCTGAGAATGTGTGACTGGCCCCAGGTCACCCAGCAGGGATCTGTGGCAGAGCGGGATTCAAACCTGGTTCTCCCAGATCTTACTGCAGTACTCTCAACACTACACTGGGCTGGGCTAAGGTGTGACTGACCCAGTGTGGAGATTTGTCCTAGATCTTGGAGACCCAAAGTCCATAACTAACCAGTACACCACCATTGGCGCTCCGTGAGATAACACAGGATGTATGTTTGTCTGACTTGAGTGCGGGTTCAGCCCCCTCTGAGAGATCTGCTGATCACCCCCTTAACTTCTAAGCTTTTGAAACAGGCAGGTTAAGAACATCTGAGTTTCGTCTTCCAGTGGCCTGCTTGATTTGGGTGGTTCTCCAACTGTTTCTCCACTTCCTGCCTGCAGCCTGGAAAGTAAACTTGTTGATTTCTCAAGAGCCCAATTAATGTAAATGGTAGTTAATTGCCGTTTTGAAGTAGATCTTGTATTTTGTTCTGGTAGACAAGGGATCTAGGGACTTGACATTTGGAAAAGGTTAAAAAGGATTTTGGTCTTGTTTACTTTAGCCCTGAGGTTGCAATGCATCTTATCTTGTAAAGCAGAAGAATGCTTGGAAATCATAGCTAGTATTTCATAAAGATGACATGCCATCAATTTTGGTAGCAAACACACGCGCACATCAAAGGGGGAATTCCACCAGGATGACTCGGCAGTATGTTTATGCTGGTGTAAGCGTTTTATTTTTATTGGGAATTTGTTAGGTCATTGACTGTTGAAAATGAAACACAGTTTTCTATTCCGCTTGGACTAAGTGACTACTGGTGTCTCTCCCTTGCAACAAAAGGAATTTGCTACCTTTCGTGTAAGTTTTAACACTTTGAGACAGGGCTTCAAACAGAGTTTTCACCTCAAAAAGCAAGACATTAGACCTCAGAAAGAATCCTAGAAGCTTCGTCATAATTATCAAGTTTGGTGTAGTGGTTAAGTATGCGGACTCTAATCTGTGAGAACTGGGTTTGATTCCCTACTCCTCCACTTGCACCTGGCTGGATGACCTTGGGCAAGCCGTAGCTCTGATAAGAGCTGTTCTTGAAAAAAGAGCAGTTTCTGTCAAGAGCTCTCTCAGCCCCACCTACCTCACAGGGTGTCTGTTGTGGGGAGGGGAAGGGAAAAGGAGTTTGTAAGCCGCTCTGAGACACCTTTGGGTAGTGAAAGGCGGGGTATAAATCCAATCTCTCCTTCTTCTTCAATGGCCTCTGACTACTTGGCTCACAATTTTCGAAAGGTTCCTAATAATTTGACGGTCCAAACTGCAGAAACTGTATTTATTATGCAAACTAAACATGGTTTCACATATTTGTTGAAGTCTGCATGGGGTTACAGTATTTCCTTTTTCGTTCTTTTCACCACCCTTGAGACATGCCACTCTTATCCGTAGTTTGGATGCCGGGGAAGTAGAATTACGGAGCTGCAACAACCGTTTTCATATTCTTGGATATATTATTACAGCTGTGAGATCTAGTGGCTTGGTTTCATTTACTTTTTTTTTAATTAAAGGTCACTTTGTCAGGAATTTAATTGCCAGACTGGTGTTCTGAGTTTTCTCGGCAAGAGCATGACATCTGTGAGATTAAGTGGAATGTCTTTGCTTTACTTTATGTGAAAAAAGGAGACCTAGCACACTACAGGGAGAGAACAGTGAAACTGAAGGACTTCCGTAGGATCTTTTGGTGGTCATAAGCTCATGAAGAGAAGAGGATCAAAGACTGTTGAGGAATTCATGTCAAGCAGTCAATTTCCCCACCCTTGAGAATGCATATTAGTACATGGGGGGTACAGAATTTAGTAGTAAATGAAGATTGGAGAGTTTAATATATGCTAGTGAAGTTGTTCAGTCTAGAACAAAAGCAAGAGATTGAATTCCGGCAGGCAGAAAGGTTTTGTGGGAGGATCTGCTCCAGAACTGGATATTGCTTTACAGGCAAACCAGCATCTAGTGCATTGATTTAAAAGTGTCATTTAAGGTGCATCGTGGGTGGATGCTGGGGTTACATGGGTTGAGCTGGAAAATATCCACTGGACAATTGAGAAGAATTGCATAGAAAACACAGTTTCTTAAACTGGAATTCTAAAAGAGCAGGAGTCCAGTAGCACCTTAAAGACTAACACGATTTGTGGCAGAGTATGAGCTTTTGTAAGTCATTGTGCACTTCTTTGTACCCTGCCACAGATTTTGTTTGTCTTGGAGGTGCTCCTGGACCCTTGCTCTTTTCTACTGCTATGGGCAGACTAACCCGGCTACCCATCTTGATCTGGAATTCTAAAGTTAAGCCTCTGTTGTGCTTGATCGGAGTTGCATGAAGATTACGGCCATGCATGAGTTGTGTGCAAAAGTGCTGGTATCAGTTGGTTTCATTGTTGACGGTATACTCCGGTGTTTTAAGGGGGGGGAGAATAGTCAATTCTCTCCCTCTCCCTGCTTTTTCCTGATAATTCATCAATGTCTAAATCTTCTCCCTCCCTATCTAATATCCCAGCTGCTTCACCTTTCCTGTATAGGGAAGGTACACAGCTTTTTACATCTGGAGACAGACTCCGCATGACGGTGCAAATATGTAGTAAAGCCTAGAGAGCCCTTTTTTCCCTTGCATGGGAGGGTTGTGATTTGCATTGGAGACAGTATGGTGTTTGATCCTTCTGTATAATGCCCCCCCCCCCATTACTGGCTTTTATCCCCCATAGTTCCGGAGTTTCTTTTGCCCTGCTGGGTTTCTGATCTATGTTTGCTAAGTAAACGTGGATCAGGAGCCCTGCCAGGATAAAAGTAGTTCAGGGTGGGGTAAGAGAGTTTCAGAAGGAAAGCTGCTGCTCTCTTGCTCTTTGTCCGGTGCCCAGCTGTCCCCTTATGAGGACACTGTATTTTATTTATTTATTTATTGGGGTATTTTTTACCCTACCCTACCCTGCAAGCAGGTTCAGGGCTGCGTACAACATCATAAAACCATACAACAATTCCCTAAAAACATTTGCATCATTAAAATACAAGTCTGACTAGAGTAAAAATTTAAGTTTAGATAACTCATTTGGATAGCAGCTCGGCCCTTCATTTCAGTCCCAATGTATGTGGTGCTCATGCTAGGACAGGGCGCTGGGCCACTTGGTTGATTGATCAGTCGCTCCTTGCGTTAGTTGGTCTGAAAAGTGACATGTTTGTGGCCAAATGGGTTCTTGGAGCTTTGTTGCATGTGGGTGAAGTATAGGTTGTCATGTACCCCTGAATAAAAAGGGGCCCAAGACTGCAGGTTCAATTTTTAAATGTAATCATCCCCTTGATAGGCTTTTATTTATTTATTTTGATATTTATACCCTGCATTTTCTCCCCGATGGGAAATTAAAGTCACTTGCAATATTCTGGGACTCATAATAACCCTGTGTGGTAGGCTGGGTTGAGGGACAGGGAGAAACCCAAGGTTATCCAGAGAGCTTCAGTGATGGAGTGGGGGTTTGAAGCTGGTTCCTGAAGATCCCAGTTGGATGCTTGAACCATTGCACCATGCTGAATCACGGGCTGCGGTCACACACACTAAACAATCCACTTTCAGTGCACATTCCAATTGGATTTGTACAGTGTGAACTGGCAAAATCCAGTTGGAAAGTGCATTGACAGTGGATTGGAAGTGGATTATTTAGTGTGTGTGTGACCGCAGCCTTTAGTGTCTTTTGCAGGTATATTTCAGAGGGTAAAGTGAGTCTAGGCAAGTATTGGGTGAATGGAGCTTCCAGCAATTGACTCCAGATTTGAAGTTCGATCCAACTGGCTTTTTTGCTGGTGAAAAAAAGGAAGGCAGAATCCCCTTGGAAACCCCCCCCCCCCAAGGCTGTGCTGGAGATCATGGACAAAAGGCATAAGGGAAACTGGCTGCACTGAGGAGGGGAATTATTTGGATTTGAGTGAGAAGGGTTGTTGGATCGAACCCTTGGGCTGTCAGCATCATCTGATGCCCTGTTTCTGCTAGTGATGAATAATGCTTTGAGATGTTCATGAAATAGTTTATTTTTAATGCCGAGGGGGAATTGATTTTTAATTCAAGCCACTTAAATCACTGGCAGAGAAGAAGGACCCGTTTTTAAAATCAAGTTTCCAACATCCTAATTCATGTTATTTCCTGAACATGTGTGCATGCTAATTGGTTGCTGTAACAATTAAGCCATATATTATCAACTAAATGGAGCTGTTATACTGCCCAGGAATATAGTTCATAACCATTAGTAATTCTGCAGGAGGACCTTTGAGGTTATAGAATTTAAATCTGCTTCAGATAGCAGTTGTGAAATCCAGGATTTCTGTGTATTCACATTAAGTGTACTTTTCCCCTTTTTATTCTTAAAATTATTCTCAATATATACAGACTTGTTACAGAGAACAAGTAACAGATATGCAGTATTAATGTCTTATGCATTACAAATTCATAACAAAATTATTATATATATCAATCTTCTCTTAAGCCATACGTTCACATAGGCTTTATCCAGATGCTTCTAAATAAGGCTTTTGTGAGTC